CCCTAAAATATTTTATACACATTAATAGCATATTTTTCCTTAATTTCGAGAATACAAATGTATATTATTAACTAATCTTGTTAATCACATTGTTATTTGCCCCACTAACCACCGTAAACAAACACTTTAAAAAATCTTACAAACTAACTTACAAAGAAAAATGTGATGATCAACTCGAAGAAAAGGCGGGAGGGAATTTGAGAAAACTGATTGTTAATCGAAACACATATAGAACATAGCTATAATCTAAATGAAAACCTCATCGTTGTATGATAATTCTACCTCTCTTTTTGAGATGAAAGCTGCCCACCGACTTAACTTGTATTGCTAATGAAAAGCCGCGAACAAGCCACGGCAAGAAGGCCAATCATCTGATCTGTGATGTCGAACAGACTAAACCAGATGCATCAGCTCCTACCTCTGCAAGCTCACAAACTGTACAAAGCTGCTCTTTCTGCGATGGAACAAAATGTGCACTGCAGTAAGGGCAAGTAACATCCTTCTGCCCCCGGTATAATGGGGTGTACGTGGACCCACACACCACAAAAGGATTTCTGAAGTCGTAATTCAGTGGTGTAACATCTCTCATATTCCTCTCGGCCGCCTGCAGAACTTGACGGGCTTTCTTGGCTTGGTTTTCAGCAGCTGGATTGGTCTCCAGAAGTTCCCTGGCAAAATGGGCTGCAGTGCTCAGGTTTTGTGCTTTATAGCAAACAGTCATGGCATTCAAGAGTGCTAGTCTCCGGTGAGGAAGTTGGAGCTTGCAGTGGGTAAAATAAGCAGCCAATTCCTGCTGACGAACAGGATTGTCAGTCAATTCCTTCCTCTTAAGTTCCATCTGCAAACCCAGAACATACTCCTTTACAATGATAATTAATTCTTTAACTTCATCCACCTCTCTTCGTGACTCGACAACAATAAATGGAATTGTTTGAAGAATAGCGACGAAATGTCGAAGGGCTTCAGAAAATTTTCCGGCAGTTGTCGCCTTGTAACCAGCCTGTAGCTTCTCTTCCAACTGAGAGAAATTGCACACAAGTGCAGGTGGACCCCGCACATTTGGACTTGCTGAC